ACTTTCTAGTCCTAAGCCGGCTGCCCTACCTCCACATCATCTTGGTGTCTGAAGGCTTGCAAAAACTCGGGCGGACTTCAGTCCGCGCGGAAACTGTGTGCACTGTCCGCAGACGGTTGAGACTTCATACTCGAGCGTCCACCCTGAGTGTCTGCAGAGCAGCTCCGCAGGCAAGGGGCGTTTACCTTTGGGACAAATTGAGTTTGCCGATTGGTCATTTGCTGACACGCCTACTGGATTGATTGACAGGTCGCAAAAAAAAAAAAGAGCGCTGGCAGCAATCAGCAACGTTTCAACACACACAAAAAAAATAAACTGTCCAGATGACCTGACTGAAAAAGTTGGATTTTATACCTGGATTATGAGCATGGACTTTGTTGTTTTCAGTGTGGCATTAACTTTCCACAACAGCCCTTGAGCTTTTCATGATCCTTTTTTCCCCCCTTGATGTTGGTGAGCAGTCACCAGTGGAGCTATACCAGTGTTCTTTTTTTTCCATAATGAAAACTAAAATAAAACCAACCTGTACATGGAGGAGGTAGAAAAGAGAGCCTTGACGTCCTTTTCAGGGACACCACCAAGTCATTGGTTCAGGTATGTTGATGAAACCAGGGTTAAAATTAAATCTCAGGAAGTCCAAAATTTCACTGACCACATCAACTCTGTGGATAAATATATCAAGTTCACACGAGAAGATGTAAAAAATGGCAGGCTGGCTTTCTTGGACTGTGAGGTCTCAGTTTCTGATAGAGGGCATTTGCAAACTGAGGTGTACTGCAAACCCACCCACACAGACAAGTATTTGCAGTTTGACTCCCATCACCCTTTGGAGCACAAGTTATGAGTCATCAGGGCTCTGTACCACAGAGCAGACAGCGTCCCCACTAACTCAGGAGCCAGGCAGAAGGAGAAATCCCACACAAGATAGGCTCTAGAGCAATGTGGATATCCTAACTGGGCCTTCCTGAAGCAGAGAAGAAACCCAAACAGAACTCCAGTCAGCCAACAGGTGAAAAGGAGGAACCCAGACCAGTGGTCATTCCGTTTGTTGCAGGAGCATCAGAGAAACTGAGACGTTTATTTTCTAAACACAATGTCCCAGTGGCTTTTAAACCCCAAAATACATTAAAGACTGGTTCATCCCAAAGATCCAGTCCCCCGGCACAAACAGAGTAATATTGTATATGTTGTTCAGTGTCAGGAGGGCTGTGATCAGTCTTACATTGGGGAAACTAAACAGCCACTGGCCAAAAGGATAGCCCAGCACAGAAGAACAACAACAGGCCAGGACTCTGCGGTCTACACTCATCTCCAGGCCAGCAGTCACTCATTCAGGGATGAAGATGTTCACATCTTAGGTGTTGGTGTATGAACAAAAACAACTTTTGGATCTTCGACCTTGTGGCACCAATGTCGCTTATTTTGATCAATACAAGTGTAACTCTTGATATGAGCACTAGCAACCCCACGCCCCAGAAAGAAATAAGTGGGTAAAGATAATGGATGTAATAAAAAGAAATTCAGTGCAGTGCAGTTGTTGGTATTCTAATGATTATATTTGAATACTAAAATGAAAAGGGGGGGACAGATGTGGACAAGCTCATGGCTGGGAAAAAGTATGATGGTCAGTCTCACAGCACAACTTTCACAAAAACTTTGACACTGCTTGATAGTTGTAGTAAGCTGTCTTTAGACATGAAAATGAAGAAGCAGCTGCTGGTAGGTCCATCACTTTGAACAAAACAACAGTATCAAGGTCACGACTAAAGTATTTTTTACAATCTTTTTCACAACAAAAATTTTCTGAAAATTGCAGAGTGAACCTGGCTGGATATGTACAAAATACAATTCACTAGCATGTCAGAAAGCACAGTGGCATGCCAAATAAGTGGATCCCCAATTTATCTATCGGAAATTTGAGGCCTCACAGATCTGTCTCATTTTCCAACAACTTTGGAAGTTCTCCTGTTTTGACAATGGTAGTTTTAACTTGACTCTGTACAACTACAACGACTTTGTTATAGTGCATCTTTCTGCACCTTACACCTTACACTCTACTATTTTGTGCAATATATCAGGGGCACATTTGAAAAACCTAATATGTGATGAATCTATAGAAGAACAGTTTTTGACAGGGGAAATGAATCCAGAAAACTTAGGGGAGCATGGCTAAACAAACAGCTGAGAACAGCTAAAACTCCTCTTTTCAGCACAAGATAACCTTAGTTTTAACTCTGGTAAAACGGCGGCAGCAATATGCATTCCTTCAAGAAATCCTAGGCCTTCTGTTACAAAATATAGCACATGCACATCCATCCATCCATCCATCCATTTTCTTTGCCCGCTTATTCCATTTTGGGTCACGGGGGTCGCTGGTGCCCATGTCCAGCAATCACTGTGCGAGGGGCGGGGTACACCCTGGACGGGTCGCAAGTCCATCACAGGGCCACATAGAGACAAACGAGACAAACAAACATTCACTCTCTCACTCACACCTAGGGACAATTTAGAGTTACCAATCAGCCTAACATGCATGTTTTTGGACTGTGGGAGGAAACCGGAGTACCCGGAGAAAACCCACGCATGCACGGAGAGAACATGCAAACTCCACCCAGAAAGGCCCCTGGACCGGGGTTTGAACCAGGGACCTGCTCGCTGAGAGGCAGCAGCTCTACCAGTTGCGCCACCGTGCTGCAGCACATGCACATTCAAGTGAAAATATTTAAGTCTCACACACAGATATGATGCAACGTTTCAGAGTTTTCCCATGATACAGCTGTCAAAAACAGCTGTGTGAGGGCCCCAAGAAAACACCACATACCATCAAACATTGAAGAAAAGGACCCCATACACACAACCATTGACATCCCAACTAACACAGTAACACGCACACTCATCCACATCTACAGTGCAAGTAACAGTAAATGTAGGTCAACTGCGCATGGGAGTTTTTTTTAACCAAACTAAATCAGAAAAAAATTAAGAGTTATTATTTTCCTTCATTGCGTTCGTTCATACACATGTGGCCAACACATTGAAAGGAAACAAGGACCCTCTTGGGAAAGTAAGTGAGTGTGTGG